AATGTGAACATTTTCTAACTGCCTTGTATAGTAGAAACCAATATTTTGAGGCCAGAGAATTCACAGTATTTATGGGTTTTTTTTTTTCTTTTCTTTTTCCTGAAGTCCCAGTATATCATTTTCCATCATTTTTTATAGTACTCAAAGGAGTCCAGTTTCTCCACATACCTGAGTATAGTTTAGGAGGGTTTTTTTATAACTTGTCATTACAAGGAGTGTGAACTGGTCTATCACCATGGCTTTGGTTTTCATGCCCCTAATGATTAATAATGATGAACATCTCTTCATGTGCTTACTGTGTCTTCTCTGGAGAAATGTGTGTTCAAGATTTTTTATAGTACTCAAAGGAGTCCAGTTTCTCCACATACCTGAGTATAGTTTAGGAGGGTTTTTTTATAACTTGTCATTACAAGGAGTGTGAACTGGTCTATCACCATGGCTTTGGTTTTCATGCCCCTAATGATTAATAATGATGAACATCTCTTCATGTGCTTACTGTGTCTTCTCTGGAGAAATGTGTGTTCAAGTCCATTTGTCAATCTAGTTGCTTACTTTCTTTGTGCCTGACTTGTGGTTCTTTATGTATCCTGGGTATTAATTCTTCATCAGAATATGATAGTCAGTATTTTCTCCTGAACTGTGGATTGCCTTTGATCCCTGTAGTATCATTTGATAAACAAGCATTTGATTTCTTTTTTCTTTCAGTGCTGAGATAGAATCCAGAGCTTTGTGCATGCTAAGCAAGTGCTCTATCACTATGTTATATCCCCAACCATTTTTATTTTTTTTTAATTTGTTAATTTAGAGACAGGGTATCATGTAGCCCAGGCTAGTCTTGAACACCTGATCCTCTTGCTTCAGCCTTCTGAGTACTGGGTTTCTGGTAGTGCACTCACAGTGCCTGGCTCAAATTTTTAATTTTAGTGAAGTCTAGTATATCTAATTCTTCTTTTGATACTTGTGTTTTTGATGTCATTCAAGAAATCTGCTCAATCCAGTGTCATGAAACTTTTCTCCTGTTTTCTTCTAAAAGTTTTATTTCTTATTTTTTATTCTTTTAGTTTGAGCTCTTAAATTTAGACTTTTGAGTAAGTTTTTGTATGTAATGTAAGGTTAGAGCCAAGATTAGTTTTAAACATGTATTTTTCAAACCTACCAACTCTTTAAAAATATTTTATTTTTATTTTATTTTATGTGTATGAGTGTATTGCATGTATGTAAGTGCATTTATGTCATCCAGTGCCACTAGGGATCAGAAGAGGGCGTTGGGTCCCCTCAAGCTGGGGTTATGGATGGTTGGGATCAGTGAGCATTTTGGGTTAATGAAATTACCAAGAAAAGAACACCAGAAGTAATAGTGTTTTAAGCTAACAGGAGGAGAATGTGTGTGTGTGTGTGTGTGTGTGTGTGTGTGTGTGTTTTACAGGGGTGTATATCTGGCAGTGGAGTGAAGGAGAAAGGACTCATTGAATGTGGTTGTGAGTAGAGAGCTACAGGTAGATAACAGCATCACTTGCACAAAAACAACTTACCATTCATGCTGCTTCAGAGGAATTAACCAATTTAACCACAATGGTGTAAGCAAACTGTTTTCAAAACAATTTTCCTAGTTCTGTTTTATTGTGGTCAGAACCTATATGTACTTCCAGTAGAAAATGTGAAGGTCTGCCTAGAGCCTTCCCTTGCAGAATTTTGAGAAGGAAGAAGAAACTGACTGTGTACATTGCCCCACCTAGTATCAAAGGTCTGCATTGGGCGTGAGTTAACAGCAACCAGGAGTTACAGGATTCTTTGCAGGAACAAGGTTCTCAATTAGACTTTCAACATTATAACCCTTGGCATTGGCATTAGATGTCCAAATTCCAAATAGGTTATTGTTAAATCTGTTAACAATGTCTTCAGGACAGAGTTTAATCATGACCTGACCCTCCCCTCTCCTGGTTTTTGCTGTGGCTGGTTTATAAGGGTTGACCCTGTAGGTTCTCATTCTCCTTTGCCATTAGCGGAGATCTAGAGAGAAAAAAATCACTGAGTGGACTATATTTTCTGATGGAGGATGGAATAACATAGCGTTTGCTCCCTAAAAAAATAATTTGTGAGAGTGATATACTGTGTTTCCCTTGAAAGAGTTAGTAAAACCATCTCACATCTTATTAAGTACCCAGTATTTCCAAGTGTGCCTGGGAATAAATGATTAGCTCAAATCAGGGGTGTTTTTACTGGTATGTTAGTTTTTCAACTGACATATTAACTCTCAGTGCACACAGTGAAAGTACAGGGTACAGAGACGTGACTGGCAGTGAAACTCCAACAGTAGTTCCTGGAGTTTAATGTCCCTGGAAGATCATACACGTCCTGACACTCAAGTGGCTCATTCTAAACACTTGAGGTCCAATAAAACTCTGGATACGTATATTTTCTCTTCATTTCCACCATAACTTCAGTGCATATTTCATGAAATTCTTTAATATAGTTTCTAGAACTGTTAATATAGTTAGTTGGCAGCTCAAGCAACTTTGACGTCCCAGGTAAATTATATAGACTGGGAAAACTGGTTCTCCCTTGCTTCCCCCTCTTCCCTTTTCTCCTTTTCATAAATATCTTTTCTGAGATGTGAAAAAAAGCAAGTTGTGTGTTCCAGATACATGCTAATTTCACCTCCAAAACTTGTTTGTAGGCAGATTTACCATTTCAGTCATTTTTCATAGCCAAACTCTCCTCCCTCTCCTGATCATAAACCATGCATCACCACATTTGTTGAAATATATTTAAACAGGCACTAAAGCAGTAGCTAATCAGAAAGCAGCATAGCTGTATTCCCACTTGTTACTCTGGGGTACTTATTAACCAAGATGATTACAGTTGAAAATTGGAGATAGCAAGTAAGAATTTAAGATGAGGGAAAAAAAAACATTAACAAGAACGTGAAGGAAAGGTGAGTGAGGAAGAGAGATGGTGGGTGTAGGAGAAAGTGATTGTTCCAGAGTGTGACCTCTCAGCTTTTTCCTCAGCAGCAGGGGCTGTTGCTCCCCTGTGTGGAAAGAGGGCTATGTGACTGAGGTTCTAAGACTGAGAACCTTGGGGACTTGAGAACAAATGTCATATGCAGGGACATTGGTGAACTTCTGCATTCTCTAGTTAGTATGAGATTAACTTGCAACAAAATCCCTCTCTGCCTGGTACACTCTGCAGCAGCAGTGACGTCCCAGGGAAAAGGCACTCTAACCCAGTGCCAGGACCTCCCACATCTTTTCACATTGTCTTTTATGTCGTCTTCGACTAGAATATTTATTTCCTTTTTCCCTCACACAGAGATTATAGTTATATGGTCATATACTATATAGTATTTGAAATTTTAAAAAATATTTTATTTATTATTTTGTGTGTACAAGTGTATTTCCTGCATGTGTGTAAGTGCACCCATGGCACGCGGTCTCCACAAAAGTCAGAAGTCAGCTTTGGATTCCCCCGCAACTGGAGTTAGTATGGTTGTTAGCCACCATGTGGGTCCTAGGAATTAAACCCGGGTCCTCTGCAAGAGCAGCCAGTGCTTTCAACTGCTGAGGCATCTCTCCAGCCCCCTTGAAAATATTTTTAACCTCACATTCAGTTTAAGCATTTATACAAAAG